AAAAAAAGTCTGCAGTGTTTCCAAGTAAGGTTGAAACTTTATTACTAAGCAAAAATCTCACATACGAAAATTTCGTTTCAGTGGCACTTTAAAAAGAACAATTAGCTGGCATAGTCTAACTTAGGGTTGAAATAAAACTATACACGTTACAAAATGTTAGTTCCCATGCTGTATCGCAACTCCAAAGTTCTAAGTAAAAGCAGCGATGTGGCAGGTTTGTGAATTAAAATAAAACTTAAGACGGATTCCGCTCAAAGTTCGAGCAATAAGTGCAAAAATTATCTACCAAAAATCTACCCATAGCACGGTAACCTTTGGAAGTACTATTTAAAACAATTCACTTTAGTTCGTATTTAAGTGACCCCGCGATTAAATTCTCAAGCATTCTGGAGAAAGTTAATGTCAAACCTCTTAAGAATGCTTAAAGCGTGTGTTATTGTGTTTTCAACTAACGCGAAACGTCCGTTTTAATTGCAATATGGATAATTTCAAGTTCAATTTTCTCTTGCGGGGTCAGCTTGAGAGCTAAAGTCTCGATCTGATAAGTTCTTCTTAACTGTATTCAAAATATCACCATGCCAGGAGGTTTTTTTGGTAACTTAATTTTTTCCATTATTTAATAAGGAAAAAATTGAAGCAAAAATTGGGAAAGTTTTTTTAAAGTGTGCGAACCAGATGAACTTTTAACGCCTGTTATATCATGGCTCTGTGATTGAATTGAAATACGCGTGCAACCTGGTCTGTCCAAAAATATGCTACAATCTCAGCAAATCAGGAGCAAAACTAAACCTATTGTAAATTGGATTATTTACTTTTCCCGCCTATTTTCCAAATTAAACTCATATCCTAGCTTGTTTTCCTAGCTTGTATATATTTCAGACTTTAACTAAACGCCTACTCTTCAACTGAGGGTCTATGGCAAACAAAACTCGCCATCTCTCTTAGTGTTAGACATAAATCACTTGTTAAGGACACTAGACAAAGGTCAATTTTGATTAGTTAATGATTGTCTCTTTATCTTAGTTACGAACGTAGTTACAATGTTTACTTCTTTTTTATTGGTTTTGTAATCGGACCTTTAAGCGTCACCACGCGCATATAAAAGCTGAGTTAGCG